ATGATTTCATACTCAAACAAAAGCTGTGAAACACAGTCACAGTGAAAAATTGTGGGAGGTGACAGTGGCTGTTTTCATGAATCCCAGCGCTTCGTACATAGGGCTGAATTATCACACGAATACGTTCATTCTTACACCAGGTAATACAATGACCACTAAGCCTGACAGCATCCTGCAACAGACAGAGCTACAGACTCTCAGCCACAGGCTACATTACCTTTGCTCACGTCTCCCTTCAAGCTACAAGCATGGACACATCTTGTCCTGCGTCTTAGCTTGCTAAAATGGCTACAAAACAAGCCTCCACTGAGGGAGAAGTGCTTTGCTAATGTCAGTTTGCAGACTAAATAGCTAATAGCTGGTCAGCTGTGACACATTAAACAGATTGAAATGACATCATCAGCCAGTTTAAATGCTAAATGATGTGGTCCTTACTCATCAATGCCGCTGCCTGTCCATGGATTGTAAGAGGAAAGCAAATTCATTTACATTGCGGTCTGGTAGGCCTGCTGGCTCAGCCGTCAATCAAAAACATACATCAACCCACCCACTCAGAGGACTGGAGGTTAAAGGAGCATTTCTGACATTTTTTTTCCACGAATAAAAAAAGAAGATAATATAGTATATACTGTATATTATAGTAAAGTTTATATTGGTAAGGTTTATGGAGTAGCCTAGGCCAGGATGGATGCCAAGAACTGATATACATATTAAAATCCTGGTAGAAAAATGCGTTCACAATGTGTTTCCACCAAACAGGAGAAAAGATGAGAAAACCGTGTTTAGGTGGGTTTGCCCCTCAATACATCTGAGGTTATCATTTTTTAACACTTTGCAATTTCATTCATTCTCAGGCCAGTAACACGGACTCAAACTGAATCTGTAGTGAGAAAATTGCGTGTATGTGTGCACATGTATAGAGAGTGGGGGCAGAAAAAGAATCCATTTTCTTATAACCTTCTCCCCATTTACTGCTGGTTTTGAAATTTATGAGATGCATAGGTAAAGTCAAGCCTTTGCTGAGAATCAAAACAATGTTAAGGGGGGAAAAAAAACTGCAAATGACTAGACATACATATTATTTTTAAAAAGCGTCAGGAAATAAGAATTTTGATAAGCTGACATTTGGGACGTAGGGTGACATTCAAAGTGGCAGTAGAAGTGCAATTTACTGCAGGAATACAGATGAGAAGTTTATTTTCAACCACGCAGAGGCATGGGAGGAATTAATGACACAAGAAGAGGGCTACTGAAGTTCTCCCTTGAACTGTTTCCTCTCAGTCTGTCTTCTGCTGTAGTTGTATTTCTTTTTCTCGCATGGAGTCGAAACTGTTTCAGAAACATTCGACTGTACAATGCACAAGCATTTTCACACGATGGTCTAACGTTTAAATAAACCCTTGCATTATATATCAGTGAAGGTCATGACAGATAGGTATACTGTGTGCATATACTCTACACAGAAGATATGTACATGTACAATTAACATGCAATTGAATCCAAAAATTTCAAAATTTTTGATTTTTTTTCAGTACATGTAAATCAAATCAGTTCAAACGAAGAGATAATCTGAAGAAATATTAAGTTGTCATTGAAAATATCGAGCAAATGCTTTATTTACAACATGTGAGCTTCTTTAACTGAAAAAAAAGGTTTTAAAATCAATAATCACTGAATCTCCAATAGTGCCACTGGCTCCGTGAGCATTGTGGCTCTTTTCAAAATGGTGTGAATAAAATCATAATGAGGATTTACATAATGGACAGCTAAAGAAAGCCTTTACTTGAAAAGACGGAAGCTCAGTGTTACAAATTTCATATTTAAAAGAGGGTTTTAAAAGGAAAGTTTTTGGGTAATGCTGTGTGCTTCTTTTTAACAAGACCGTCTCCTAGCAATTATACTTCTATACAACTAAACTGCAAAAGAAAATACATTTTTTTATACGAAACGTAATCACTGGTTGAATTATGTTCAGAGGCAAGGTATATTTTGAAAGGCAGAAGTGCAACATTCATTAACGACAGCTGATTTGTGGTGATTGGCCATACGAATGCAAAAACCTTTCTCCCGAGACCAGGACTCGCATCCAGAGTCCCGCCTGCGGTTTAGGGAAACAGAAGCACTTTGGTTAAGCTCAGGGAATGACTGTTGTTTTGGTTAGATGTAAATAAACACATTGCGTCTGTGTCCATTAGTCTTTCCCTCATCTCAACCAAACGTACAGTATATGCCAGTTAGTTCTATAGAAACATTATTTTTAGGAGACAGGGTTGCTTCTAAAACAAAAAAAATCTAATTAAACCTTTGGTTGTATGTTATTTTCCCTGACCAGGCCCCCTCTCTGCTAGCATAAAGAGCAAGAGACATGAGATAAAGAGTGATCCCACTCCATTTGGTTATGAAGGTACATGCAAAGATATGTCGTACACAGTGAGTTCAGAAAGCATTCAGACCGCTTCACTTTATGCAAACTTTATATTGTGTTTATTTCATTTTAAGCGGCTAAAATTTTTGTCCGTAAGTCTACACTCAATAACCCGCAACCTGAAGATGGCAGTTCACAGGCCCTTCCCGTCCAAGCTGACGGAGCTTGAGAGGATCTGCCAGAAAGAATGGGATAAACTGCCCAAATCCAGATAAGCAAAGCATGTAGAGATTTACACAAGAAGACTCAAAGCTCTAATTGCTGCCAAAGGGCTTTCTACAATGTACTGAAAATAAGGGTTCAAATACTTTTGTAAATAACAGATTGTAGTTTTCTAAAAAAAAAAACATGTTTTCACTTTGATGGGTAAAAACAGTAATTTGTCCAATTGTCTAATTCTACAACACAATAAAAGTGTGCAAAAAGTGAAGAGGTCTGAATACTTTATGAGGCCACTGGCTCCGAGCATGCTGAGCCTTTTAGCCTGTGGTTGAGTAGGTGGAACTTTATTTTTTATTTTTTATTTATTTCTGGATGATGTGTGTTGTGTGTGTACGCATTGTTGTGGTTGTTCACTTTCTGTATTTCCATCTATTGCCTGCTGTGTTGTGATTTGTGATATGACATTTTAAAATGCATGCAAATCAAGTAAAAAGTATCAGGTAAAGGAGTATCAGATAAAGATATTTTTTTGTGTGTGTGTGTGTGTGTGTGTGTGTGTGTGTGTGTGTGTGTGTGTGTGTGTGTGTGTGTGTGTGTGTGTGTGTGCGTGTGTGTGCGTGTGTGCGTGTGTGTGTGGTTTTGTTGTGCTGAGGAGTTTGTTGGTGTTTTGGCCTGTCGTCTACTTATTTGATTTCTGCATGAGTAGAATTGCACCGCTCATTTTATTCATCAGGACCTCACGTTCTAAAATTTTGGTTGGGGTTTGACGATGTTGAGTGGTCATTGAGTGATCATGATGAAAAGCATGGTTTAAAGCATTTGGCTTTCCTCCAGATACTTTGCGCGGTGCTATGGCTGCAGTCGGGAAACGTCAGAGCATGATTAGCAGCACTGCTACTGCTGCTGGCGGCACCACAGTTGTCCCTAGATCCACCTCCCAACCAGGTAACTGCAGAGGAAGACTCATCTCCAACAATGATTTGCGTGGTTTGTCTTCTTGGTAGAACTGATTTCAGTTTTATGAGTTTGATAAGTTGTTGAGAAAATTGAGTTTCTTTTGGTTAATTATTTGGTTTTGGGCAGTCTTTTATTTAGTGCATGTTATTTTACCAGACCTTCTGATGTGCAACTTCATCTTCATTCTGTAGCACATTCATTTCTACCCTGAAGCCGTGTTGTGTTTTATCATTATACTTTTGCACTCATCATGGATTGGCCGTAACAAACGCCATGTTTAAGCACACACCAAAATCAGAGCATGTTGGTGAGTCACATCAGCTCTATGTTCACGGAGGGAAAAAAATGAAGCTTTCAAAGAAAAGAACACCTGCCCACTGTTAGGCATCAGTTCTGTTGTGGGATTGCTTTGCTGTGTCTGGTACAGGGTGCCTTGAATCTGTGCAGGGCACAATGAATTCAGACGATTATCAAGGCTTTCTGGAGTGAAATATACTTCCCAGTGTCAGAGAGCTCTGACTTAGTCGCGGGTCATGGCTCCTCCAACTGGATAATGACCCCAAACGCACCCAAAGCAGCTAAGAATGGATGAGAAGAAAACATTGGACCATTCTGAAGTGGACTGCCATGAGCCATGATCTCGATCCAACTGAAAATCTATGGAAAGAGCTGACACTCACAGTTGGGCATAGTGAAGGAATGCATCTGGAGTAGTGTTCATGATAAGTGAGCCTAATATACTTCTTGTTTTTGACCACTACCTTTTTGAGAAGTGTTTACGTCTCATTATGAGCTACAAAAAGCGCTTGATTGCAGCGATTGCCTCAAAGGTTGTGCAACAAACTGCCCTGAAGTCCCATTATTTTTGTCCTCGTCATTTTCATTTGTTGTATTATTTTAAAATGATGTGTTGTATGAAAAATGTTCTGCTAAAAATGGAACAGAGAATAGAGATTGCCAATTACTTTTGTCAGTTTCAACTTGTTTCAGAGGAGATTGTATTTTTTTCTTTTTTAAGTGGAAGAGTACCAACAGCCACGTCTGTAGTATTAAAATGCTGAGAAGTAAAAACTCTTTGCAACTCTCATCAGTTCATTTATTACATTATCTTCTGTTGCAAGACTTAGACCCACCTTACAATCACTTGGCTTCATAAACATCAGTTTTTAAGGAACCTTAGATGCAACTTTCCTCGTCAGCATGAACTCTTCCTTTAGTGTTAGGAATAATCATTAGGTATTCTGTAGTGTGCTTGACCACGTTTCATTCTGTGTTTGGCTAAAAGTTTGATTCTTGCAAACAGACTCTTTGATGATGTAAAACAAATTACTTAATTGCACAGTGACATTTTTTTCCTGTCAGTGAAGCACCATCAGCTGTCAACTGGAACAGTAATATCCCCCTGGTTTTATTAGTACATTTCAGTGGTTAATCATTTGCATGAATTCCCCCTCAGGCTGGACGCAGCGGCGTCTCCCTTCCATGGACACAGAGGACTTTGAGACGATCCCCTCCAGTGCAGAGGAATCCTCCAACTCTTCAGAGGAGGAAGGCAACAATAAAAATGTAGGTAACACTAAAGATTGCAGCTCATTTTGGCGAGAAAATGTAAGAAAGTTTAACCAGGACATACCCTGGAGCATTTCTGGCCCTACTTTCTAAAATGTATTTAATAGTGAAACTGAACAAAACCAGTGTTTCCCACAGGTCTGAAATATACTTGAGGTGGTAGCCGGCGGAAAGGGCCATGTTACCTGCTGGCACAAAAATGGTCAACTAAATGTGACAAACATCATATATGTGTGACCACAATATTTTGAATTGTTACCTAATATACTTAACAGACCACGACCCGTGTGTGTGTGTGTATGTGTTTCTCTGCAGAGCATGTGTGATTGTCAGTAGACCCTTCTCGTAACGAACAGGAGGGGTAGAGTGAGGGGAGATTAATCGATCGCGGATGGCGTCGTTCTCTCGGATGGATAAAGAAAATAACGTTAAAATGGGTCCCAAATATACTTGGGTGGCCGTTAATATACTTGGGTGGCGCGCCCAAGTAAAGTCTATGTGTGAGAAACACTGAAAAAAATAAAAATAATTTTATTCTGATTTAAAATAAGACATGATTTCAGTATCACTCAACATTTTCAAACTTAGCTTGACCAAACCCATTCTGCTCCCGCTGGGTCACATCAGCTTTCGTCATAAATCATTGCATACTGTGATCACTCACCATCCCTCGACAGCTTTCCTCTCACCCTTTGTTTCCTCTCCACTCATTCTTCACTTTCCCCTCTTTTCTACTAAATCCCCATCTGATCCCCTTTAAAGAGGACCCCTCCGCTGCTTAATTATTTCCCATGGACGCGTGTCTCGTTAGCAGTGGGCGCTGACGACTTGACATTTAAGAAACGAGGGAGGAGAGACAAAAGAGGGGGAGGATTATAGCTGCACAGGTCTACTGGGTATGGCAGGCTTTCCAGATTCATTATAATCAGTGTGATATACAGTAGACAGTCACACAGGCCCGCATGCAACACACACACGGAGCATAATAGTGGTGCTCACATGCGCACGCTCTTTCAAGGAATTGACATTTTCGCACCATGCGATAAATCTAAAATCTTGGTGTTTATCTCTCAGCTCTCTGTGTTGTCTGGGTGTAATCAAAACCTCATATTCAGCTAGACTCTACAATGCTATAGTACAGTCCAAGGTTTTGCAGTCGGCCTATTGAATACAAATCCTTTTGAATCCAGTAAAGTTGTACTGATCAATATTTTGATATAAACAAAGAAAAAAACAGCTTAAAGGAGAGTGACTATAGCACTTAAATTAAACAAGCAGACTCAAATGTGTATGATCTATTTGGTAATCTATTCATATTTTCTTTCAACATTAAATTAAATAATGTTATTTCTTATACATTTAACATAACTAAAAGACATAAAAACAGCAGAAATCAGCTTTTATTACTTTTACACATCTTATTGTTCAACAGCTACTTGCTTCAAACAATGGAGGTCCCGGTTTAAGAACTATGAAATTGTCAAGCTTAAAATATTAATATGAAACTGTGTGTGTTTAGAGTACGTTCCAACAACTGAAAGTGATGTGACCAGCCACAGCAGATCATTTAACTAGTGATGCACAGTCCAGTCCATGCATAGAAACAAATATGTATATGGCTGAGTAATGGCTGAGTAATGGCAAAGCATATTAACCAACTTTCGCTTTGGCTTTTGGGGAGGTTACCTAATTAACGTTAATTAGCATCAGCCCATCCCTTTTACCAGCCTGGAACCATATCCAGAATGGAACTGGCTAAATTCAGAGTGTGACTCAGCTATTTTTTTTCTTTCTTCAGGGTGACAGCAGCCAATTCCGGGTGCAGCTGACTTATGACTCTCGTGATGCACGGGACATCTCTCTGGAGACGGGTGATCTGGTCCAGTTTCTGGAGGAAGCAGAGAACGGACACTGGTGAGTTCCAACCGTTGCCACCGTAGGATTGTGGAAAATCAGTCATTTTCTTCGTGCCCACTCATTATTTCCTGGTTTGGTTGACTTAGGACTGTATTTGAAATCTCTGGCTAAGTGGGTCCCCATCTATTAAACGCATTTTGTTCCTAAATAGATGTGCGAGAACACAAACTTAACAGTCTATTCCCAGTGCAGGAGAAAGAATCTCACAAATAAGGCAAAAAATAAACCGACATTGCATTTGACTTTATTTAGGGTACTTATGTTGAGCATCTCTTTCACTTTGTGTGCCCTCATAAAGTTTAATTGCAGTGCAAATCCACTCTCCACTCTCATTTGTGGAATTTGTTTTTCTTTAGTTCTAAAGATTTTATATTTTTACCTCAGAATTATGTGCACAAAACCTCTACTGTTGAAGCACATTCTCCATAGCAACTAAAGGACCATAGTTTGCCTATTACAGTGTCTTTTTATTGTGTTTCTGCTTACTTTAAGATTTGTTCTTAAATTCCTTTATGCTCAGCTTAATATCTGCATAACTTTCTTCTTAAAATAGAATTGGGGGAATCAAAAGACAGTTGTGAGCAACAGGCAATGCGCTTAACTGTAGGCACAGGCGGCACCTAAAGCTAACAGACTTTTAAGTCCTGAATGTTTTTTGGCAAAGCCCCGGATCTGTATTGTTCATCCTCATGCGTGCATAGGAACCAGTGTGTTTCAAATGGAATGTTTGGAGTGAAGCTCTGACAGTGTATAGATGCTTTTTTAATATTTTAAAAGTCAACACAGTGTTATAATTGGCTGTACATACAATTATCCTTAATACCAATCAGTCATCATTTGAATGCCACAGCCCAGCTGAGTACTGTTGCCTTTATGCATCTATTTATGGCCACAATTTACCATCTTCTAATGGCCACTTATTCTAATGGCTACTTCCTTGGAAGGGAGGCCCAATGTGTCAATAGTACTGAGCATGTCTATGAAATAAAGATGAAAGTAAAGGTCAGAAACAAAAAGTGTATTTGAGCGGGTTTGGTTTTATTTGATTCTTGATGATTCAGATATATCAGATAATAAATACCCATGCTGCATAAAGCACTTTTCAGAATCTAGGCCTAAATGTGCACAACAATTGAGGAAGAATAATAGAAAACCTGCACCACTTACAAGGGTGGCATCATTAGACATATTTAAAAAAAAATGCTTTACCATACAGCTATGCATGGACCTGTTGTCCCTCGCTTGTAAGTCACTTTGGATAAATATGTCTGCTTAAGTAAATGTAAATGTCAGGAGCAGATGATTCAACTCAGTGCAGCACATCCGCTTTTAAAGGGGCCGTTTGTAAGTTTTATCTGCAGCCGAACGTGGTTTCTTGCTAGGAGAGGGTGGTGGTGATGGTCATTCACCTCTTCAGGGTAGAGTGGACGCTACAGTGACTCAGTATCGGAAAGTGAGGAGACTGTCAGGCCAGACGAGGGGCCAGCTAATTTGCATAGTAACTTCAGAAGAAGAAAAGAAGTGCTTTTGAGCAAAGTCATGTATAACTTTCTCTGTAATCACTCATTTTAAATGTGGATACGGCTAATCACACAGCTTTGATTTGTCAGACAACGTAGTGATTAGGAAATAATGATTTGATAATCACCACCACATAGCAGCTTGGATGACGTTTGAGCAACAGTAATATCACTTCTTCTTTGTCAGTTGTCAGATGTGTATATAAAAGTCTCATCTAAATATAACTGAACAAATTGAGGAAGATATAAATAAAAAGAATATAGAAAATATAAAAGCAGTGACCCTAAAATAGATCCTTTTAGCACATGTTTCTCAATATCATCCTGCCGTAATAAGTGCAGCAACACAGTCTGACAAATGTCAATTATAAAATTCCATGCAAAGGTCTAATCAGGAAGAATATGTGAAAACAACTGTGTGGGTTGTAAAAGTAGGAAAGTGGTTAGTAATAGTAGTCAAACCACAGCTGTAATGACAGCACTGGCTTTGATCTATTCAAGTGTCCCAGTAAGTCTTGGCAATGTAATATTGCACAATACCAAGACTACTACTACTCACCAATACCAGAAACTGCAGCAGCTAAATCATATTTGGCCACCATTAATTAAATTATTTACAGCTGTGCTTTTCCCATTGTGACATGTCAAAATATCTTCAGTGAAAAGGGCCTTTTTTTTTGGTAACGCGCCATGCTAATCCTGTGAGCTACTACTCTGGCTGATAGGAGGTAAGCTACTTTCTAGCTAACTGTCTTAACAAAAAATTATTATATTATAACTATAACTTGAGTTTGCGATTGGTTTAAAACAGCTGGCACAGCAGTTGTGCAAATGTATGCATCTAAAATTTTCCTCAAGACGAGTTTCAAAACAGCAAAATTATGGATTGCATCTTTAAATCTGATGTAAGGAGGTAATAACTGTCATCGCCATGCAAAGCACTGCATACTGGTTTATCACTCAGGGCAAAATAGCCCTCTTTTGTCATTGTGATTATGTTAAAATGTCCTACCAATTCAAAGTGGAGGTGGGTGATTGGGAGGTGAGCTATTGTTCCAACAGAAAGTACAGGCCACACATTTTAAAAGTTGCACCAGGTGCAGTAATCAGTGACTCACTGGCATTCATCATCAGCAGTATCAACCACCTGCAGCTTTGTTATGGTCATTTTCTACTATGGGACAACTCAGTGGACCATAATGGTGTCAGTGTTTACTGGAAACCTGCTCAAATGACCCTAATAACGCTGTGTGCTACCTGCTGCTCTGCTATTTAAAATGTGCTAATCATCCAACTATCAACTTGCAGCAAAATTGTGTCATTGTGTCCTTTTATTCAGGCAGCATTTGACACTAAAATTATGGAGTAGATTGAATAAGTTTCCCTAATGTTCAATCTGTTCCTCCAGACAAAGCACTGTTTTCTGAAGCACGACTGAACCCTTACAGAACAAAAGCTGTACTGCCTGGGTCTATTCATTCTCATGTCAATGATGCATTGGTGATTTACCAGTAATTGTGTTTCTTATGATTTTTTTCTGTCACTGATGATAGAATAAGTTGGTCTTTGGCATTGTTGTCTCACGCTGTTTTAACTTTTTTCCGCTCAGGCAGTATTTTTTCCTTATCCAAGACTAATTCTGGGTAAAACTAAGTATGTCACAGTGAAATTAGATTCAATAGAACTCATAACTTAAGATGAAATTCCTGATCCCTCATTTTTACTGTTAAATCCTACCAACCATGGGCCAATAACATGTTGTTCAAATATTTTATTGCAGTTACAAAATTTTCTGGTCTGTTGTTGTTCCAAGTCCTATCCAGGAAAATACTATACTTTTATGGTTGATGAATAAAACACACTCTACATATCTTCAATCAGTAAAAGCTAGCTGTTCCCTCTACATGGAAGCATATGTTCAAAGTGTATTTGCATATTTATAGACAGTCCTGATGGTGGCAGATTGTCATGTTTTTTTTCTGCTTCCTGCCCTTGTTGTTTTGTAAGCACACTGTCCACCTGCTTACCAATTGAGTCACAGCACTTATACCTGAAGTGAATCATTCGGTGCAGATCACACAATGTGTGGGAGTTTGTGCAACTAGAGCCAACACATGGAGGAGGGATTTCGGGCAACTTAGCCTGACTCCAACTGAGAACAACCTTAGTTTTTCCACATTGTTGTCTCACAACTGTCGGCACAGAATTGGGTACCAGCGACATTATCGAATGAAACAACCGGCAACAAAACGCAAGGTGGCAAAAACAAATATTGTATTACCCTAGATGAGGGGATAAGTGCAGCTTGTTTAGCACTGGTGCATGCTAACATGTTACTTTAGATAACCAGCTGTTGGATTTGTATAGCAGATGATGCCATAAACCCACTGAGTTTCCACAGTCCATCAAAATCATGAGCTACACCAAATGGATCTCTCGATAAATGGTGGCAGACCAGCCTTCCGCCAAAATACAGGCACTTGTCAGGGAATACAACTCAGCTTGATGAGCAGATGTTCCAGGAGGCAGAGCGAGTGTCAAGGGTTAGCTGAGCAGCTCATGCAGAGGGAACCTAAATACAGACTCAAAGACAGAGTCGATACAGTTCAGTGATTTATTCAAACAATTAAACACAAAAGCTTATTGGATGGTGAGGCTGCCCGAGGTCAAAACTGTTCAATTCAAGGCAGTTCAAAACAGGTAAAAAAAGCAAGTCAGGGGCAGCAAGGAATCCAGTCGTCCAGTAACACAGGCAAAAAGTCTAAAGCACGAGTAACAGGAACAAAGGTTTAAACCACTCTGGACAAACAGAAACAGACAAACTGCCAATGAACTGGTGACAATGGCAGATATAGATCCAGACTGAGATGAGGTAACTGGGTTCAGGTGTGTGGGAGGGGAAGCTCTGTGATTACAAATGAACACGGGTGAGTAAGTGGAACAGGAAAAATAGCCGCAGACATCTGGTGGTAGTATAGAAAATAGTAGGTCAGGGGGAATGAAAGGACAAATCGTAGTCAGGTAAACAGGTGCAGAGGAGAGCTGATATAACAGCACGCATCTCTTAAGTGGTGAGAGCGTAACCTGGAAAGTGTGTATCTGACCGTCTTATTCGAACCATCACAAAAGAAAGTCACATCTGTAATTTTGGATTTTGAATTTTCAACAAATCAGACCTCGGTGATGTAACTGTATCAACCAATGTCTCGCATCATATGTACCTCACTCAAAAAAAGTGCTAATAAATGCAAATGTGTGTGTGTGCGTGTGCATGTGTGCGTGGGTATGCTGAATTTCGATACTGCTACTGCCTCACACTGGCACAGATATTATGTCGGATTATTTTAGATTGAAATCAGTGTTGATGATATTATGTGGTTACGCATAAGGAAAAGGCCGTTCGACTTCTTTCGCTGCTATCTGTAATCATTATCCACACTGTTGCTTCCTCGGTTAAAAGTCTACCTTGAGTTTGGT